TATTGCTTGATGGAGTAAAAGGGAAACACCACCATTATCATGTATGCAGTTTGGTGAGAATTTGATCAGTTTGGGGGAATAGTATGTGCAGACCACAGATAATATGCTGTGCCTTGTCCATAAATGAAGACTCTCTCTGATAAATTATCATCATGATCAATATTTTAATTTGAAGGTCTCAGAGAAATCTGATTAGAAGCTAATTTTAACAGTAAAGACCCTAATCAAATCAAATCGTATCAATAAGCATTTATTGAACAACTACTAAGTTTGAGGCATACAATCTGTAAGTTGTAGCAATTTATTTTTGAGACAGAAATTGCCTTGGTGATTTGATGTGTTGACAAACAACTTTTGTATGGCTACCCCAACAGGATGGATCCCAGTTGCACAAGATGTCAAAGGCTGCGTGAATATGGGGATAACTGGCTCTGTGTGACTGTCTCTGGTTCCCACACTGCTCAGATCCTCTGCCAGAGCAACATATGGCGCATCTTGACTTTCCATTGCAAAATATTCCTGATAATTTCATACAGAAATTGTATTTATTTTTCATTGTCGTCCTCAAAAAGAGGTTGCTTAGAGTAGACAAACTTAGTAATCAACAATCAGTTACTGGATTCTATCACTGGCTGTTTAGCTTGTTCTCACAGATCCGCTTTACCCCACATGCTAACAGGAGACATTATTCACCTACAGTATTATCTATGACATCACTGGTTTCAGCTCCCTGCTATGAACGTCAGAGATTTCTATGCCAAGTCATTGGAATCAACTTCTCTCTTCCCATGACCACCATTTTAATCCTCTCTACTCTGCCACTCTCATACATATATTTTCCCACATTCCTGTTTCTACTTAAGAGGCTGAGGTACAGTGGTTTATGAGCATATCTGTGTGCACATATGGGTGAGCTGTTATCCTGAAAGCACATGGTGCCACGCTTTGGCCCACGCATGCACAAACATCACTTTTAGGGTTTCCATTCCACTCTACACTATAACCCATCTCCCTATAGACAAAACTCCATGGCACAAACATAATTTCATGAATCATTAAAGAATATAATTACTAAAAACTATACTTCTGATCTATATTGGCATTTAGTAATTAGGGAGTATTTTTGGTCCCTAAACACAGAAGCAATGTTTTAATTGCTTTGCCATTGTAAGAAATGTAAATGTTTTACATACAGATTAATTTACTTGGCTAAGTTTTTGCATTTCTTGAAAATTCAGGATATCAGATAATGTAATTGCTTGACAAATTGAATCCATCATCAGTTTAGGTTACAAGCGTGGATATTTTTAAAAGGGTCTGCTAACTCCTTTCCCTTCCTCTCTCCTGTTTTGTCAGTCTTCTCTTGGAATTAGTGATATTGTTTTTTACACGATTAAAAATTAGATAGAGTAGCCCTTCGATAAACTTAGCAATAGCTTTTCTTCAACACTGCCATTTGCAGGGCCCTTGTATGCTTGAAAACCGACGTAACTGGCATTTATTTGCTTTCTTTGGTTCCTCCTGCTTTATGTTTTATTGTCTCAGACTGTGTGATTTTGTCACCAGGGAGTGTGTCTGTGTGTGAGTGTAAACAAGGGCCCGAGGAGTTTCTTTCCACTTTTTGGTTTATTTCTTCTCTATCCAATGTATAAAACTCCAGACCTAATTCATTTTTCAATTTAGGATCTTTAAATGCTTCAGCAGCAGCAATTTGGTGATATATCTAGCCTGAGAATGTTATATGGGGCACAGAATGTTACTTAGGGGTAGTGATGGCATTCCCACAAGAGCTGCACATGCCTGTTGGGAACTGGTAAGAAGTAGGTAAAGTTATGGCCAGAGTGGGGAAGAGACTTTGACTACTAAACACGCGAGCTCCTGGATGTTTCTGAGCAGAGTGACACTCAGTAAGTAGACACAAAGTCCAATATAGGCTGGCGGAAGAAATCCTGAAGATGTGGGGATCAATTAGGAAACTTTTGGAAATTCAGGTGTGGAGTGACCCCCTCTTCCACGCCCACAGACCATCCAGAGCCACCCAGCACTAGCTGTATGGGATAATGACAAGATCAGAAACAGTCCAGCTGTCTGCTACTTGCTGCATTGCTTTTCAGTTGTGTGTTACATCATGTTGATATATGAAACAGTTTCAGAACAATTACTTTCAAAGTGAGAGAAAGGAAATAAAATGCGAATAGAAAGAGCACTTTATCATGGCCTCTCCTTTTTCTTCTAACATTACTACAGTCCAATCAGCAAGTCTAGCTTTGCCCCAAGACACAATCTTCACACTGTCTACTTCCACTTACGCTGACTCTGATATGTTTCAATGCAATGTTCTGTCTGGAGACACCTTAGAACTGAGTATAACAGCAATTGACAGAATTGTCTAACACAACGACCTGTGTGATGTGAGAAATCGTTCTTTGAAGAGCATCGCAGATACTTTTAACTGTTCTTCTCTCAACCTAATTCTTCTAAGTGTAGGGGAGATAAAGCAGCTTCATTTATCCCTTTAATAGAATGTTCTCCAAGTCTATGCATTATTTTCATAGGTATCTAAACATAAGGGTAAAGTGAGATGGACAGCTGATACTTTGCCCTGCAATGCAGAGGTAGCTGGACACGATCAGAGGAATCCACAGGTCTGATATGTGAGACTCCACAGCATCAGACTCTTAAAGCAGGAGGCAACTGTGGAGAAAAGGCATGGAGCCTGGAACTCACATTGCTTGGAAGGATTTCTCTTGACTCTCCTGGGCAGAAATCAGTGAAACAGCAACATTTTATGGTCTCTTAACCTAGAGAAGAGCATTGACAGAAGGAGGTAGAAATAACCCCTAAATATTCTAAGGCTTTTTAGCTCACTCCAATGCTTTTCTCTTTTCCTCTGGAAGAAGACTGAAATGACTAAAGAGTGTTTTTTTTTTTTAACCCAAAAGGTTTACTTTCTAAAATTAATGTTGGTTAAATGACTCATTATGAGTTTTAGAAAAACAGAAGTTACACAAATGTACTCCTGCAATGTAAAAACATGTCAAATTATTTAGAACTACAAGATATATAAGGTATTGGATTCCCAAGAGGGAAGAATCATATGATCAAATAACAATGTGTTAATTTTAATCCATTGTTATCTGAATGTAAAACAAAGTTTTATTTGAATTTCACCAAATTTGGAGGTATTCCAGATGATATGACTTAAAATGTTGCTATGGAATAGAAATGAAGTTTAGTTTGGTGATTGGCAGTTAGCACCTCAAGGAGATATAAGCAAGTCTCCTTCCCAGCAGTTGCAAATATTGATTTGCCAAGAAGTTGCTTTGCACATGGTCAAATGGGAATTATTAATTCAGAGATGGTTATTTTATTCTCCTGAGCCATAATAGGTTGGTCAACTAGTGTATAAGTATGAATGATCAATGTTTAATACTCCACACTGTGATTGCTGAAGAGTCAAATTTTGAATGAGTCATGTCAACATTTTCAAATCTATTATTAAAGAGAGATGTCATGAGAAAGTCAAGTATTGAGTACATATAATATTTCAAAGAGAATATAACTTTTTAAAAGAAAAAAATTAAAGTTCTGTAGCATATGCTAAACATTTTAAATTAATTACACATTTTTAATTTTGCATCATAGTTTGGGTTCTAAAATCCCACTTTAAGTTCAAATAGAAAACACATGTATTCATGCTATTCTACGGAAAGAGATGGTATGTGATTTTTTTTCCTGATTATTTGTTGTGTAATTTCCCCGATTTTATAAACAGTGTATTGGAGTAATTTTGAAATGTTTTTTATTTGTAATGTTTAAAATTTTAATTATTGTTAGACCACTGATTTTTCTGGTAGGCTAGTATAATTTTGCCACAGTTTAAATATATAAATTGGAAACTGAGCGGCTATTGTTCTACTTAAAATTAATTATGTCTTCAATTGACAAAACTTGCCATTTAAAGTCATATTTCAGAATATTATTGCTCAGAATAGTTGTGTTTTTATGAATAATACATAGAAGAAAAAATATAGGCTGAGAAAAGTGCTTTCCCTGGGCTTAGAATAAAGACATTCCCCAACATCTGGCAGAGATCACGCAATTGCATTTGAATTTTGGTTCATCTGAATTCTTACAGCAATTTTCCCCTCAAACTACTAGATCAAATGTGGAACAACTAATTCCTTTTGGCTTTAGTTTGTTTTGGTACTAACAGTCCCTAAAGCAAGGTGATCACAGTAACAGTGGGTTAGTTATCTTCCTCTCCTCTACTCCGGTACCAACTTTGTCTCATTTCTCTCTGGATCCTGATTGCCTGGCTCTGGGGTGGACACACGTGGGCACTCCATAAACATAAACTGAAGAAATGAAGGAGGCAACAGTAAACTGATGCCTATTTTACATGGTTTTAGTAATGCTGCTCAATGAGGTTAACACTGGCCTGCTCTCACGTGGACGCCATTCTCTCTAAGTCACCCAGATAACTGAGGGAAGCCAGTATAGCCTTTGGCTTCAATCATTAATCCAGATGGTCCACATAGAATAGGTACTTTTCCTTTCAAGCTGTACTATGACTACCTGGCTTCTGAATGGCATCACATTAAAAAGGTAACGGAAACTGAAGATACATTTAAGTACTTTTTGGGCTCAGTAGGTCTCACCCTGGAAATTGACTCTCAGAAAAATCCAGTGGTCTTCCCGAGATTGCCCATCCACTCAGCAAGCTCAAGGCTAGCATGAGAATCCGATTCACGAAAGACCGTGACTTTGAAGAGTCATCCCTGAAATACTATTTTGTTAACAATTAAGTTAGAAAATAAGTGTAACATTTAACAAATAATAAAATTTTTAAATGCCACTGCATTTTAAGATAGTAGAAACTGCTCTCAGTAAAAACACAGACAAATATTCCAAAGGTCAGACAAGTCTGCAGCAACTCTCTCACTGTGGAATCAGAGCATATGTTCAAACCTGCAAAGACATTGGTGGTAACTTCCTACCTTAAATACATTGATAGGGAGATCAATGACCACATAGATAAGGTCTCCAAGGGCAAGGCTGGCTATCAGCGCGTTGGGGCCATTCCTCATACACTTGTTCTGGTAAATGATCCTGAGCAGGGTTGCATTCCCCACCATTCCCACGATGAAAATAGTACAAGATATCACAGTGTTAATGTATTTGAAAGCTGAAGTAATCTTAGTCTGCTGCGGGCAATAGTTGTGCATTGAACCATTGCTGGGGAGAGCCAAATTAGTGGGTCGATGAGTGGTAACCAGGAAGCTGAGCTCTGTCCCACTGAAAGTGGTGAAATCGTCCACAGGAGTGCTCAGATTCGTGCTGTAGCTCTCAGGATTATCACTGATCACACATCCAAAGAGCGCCAACCAAAAGGACACCCTGAGGCAAAAGGTTTCCATCTTGATGCAAATTCGAGGAAATGTCTCTTATTGTGTTGCTTTTACACCCTCACTTTTTTTTTTTCACCTGGAAAAAGAAAGGAGGAAAAATAATTTTGGTTACGAGATCCAGCTGCCAATAAGATTGTAATCAATGATAACTTACTGCTTTAATTAAAAAGCAGGATATATTTGGTAATTAGATAAGACATATCTGTATCATGTTATTCTATGGAAGAGCAAAACCAGGAAAGACCAAAGCTCTACTGGGCCAAGTTATATCTCTGTCTCTGTCTCTAGCTCTGTCTGTCTCTTTCTGCCTTTCTTTTTCTCTCTCATCTCTATCCATAGCTATACTTATATCTAGATTATAATATAATCTATAGATATAAAGTAGATTGTAGGTAGATTATAATATAATATGTTAGTTTTTCCTTCAAGTAGTAGATAAAAAGTTATTTTTTTCTCTTCATTACACCTAGGCTGATAAGAACCTGACTTGCAAAAATCTTCAAGAGTTGAGATACAAAATTTTATTTATCATTGGAAGAGAAAAGGTATTATATGCTGAGTAAAACGATTCAGGCATGTAATACTTACATGGTAATTCAGGCATAAAATTACCAAATCTGTAATTAATTCAGTATTCAGTGTTCCAAAATGTGTGCTGTTTTGCACATGGTAAATAATGAACATGGGAATAAAGTGCAGCACAGGTAGCCATTTAAAGTGTTACAAAATGTTATTGAAAAGCAGAACTCTGGTTAACACCATCAATACATTTAACAATCCTAGTTTCAATTAAAAATGATATAATTGATAAAGACAAAATATTTTATTAAAAACCTTGATGATAAATGTGTACAATCCACATCTTCTGACAGGAGTTTTTTGCTTTTCCACTTCTCAGAAATTATCATCACAATGTTTGCCAATGAGTGAAACTGGGAGTGATGGACTTTTTCAGGCCAAGCATACTATTTGGTTTTCCCAGGGATCTCTATCCCATACTCTCTTTTAAACATCCTATATAGCTACATTTATTATGACCAGTCACTGTGCTGAGCACTTCACCTGCATGATGCCATCTAATCTATACCATAACCCTGTGAAGCAGATACACAATTCCATTACAAACATAGGGAAACAGAGGCTCAGGAAGGTCAAGGAGCTTGTCAAGGCCAAGGTGGTGGGTGGCAACGCTGTGATTAGAAGGCAGGTTAGTCTGACCTGTTTAGACCTGGGAGTTAGACTCCCAGTCTGAGCTCTTAACCACTTGACCATACTGCCTCTCATTCTCGTACTTTCTTAGCACTTAAAATGTTTTAATGATGTCTCTAGAATTTCAATGAAGCAATAGATTTGGGAGGGTGGTTAGATATTTTCAAAAGACCATTTGGTTTGTTTTGTTTTTGTTTTTGTTTTAGTCACTTGCAGAGAGCAAGGGATCTTTCTTGCCCAAGAAGTCTAGGTTTCTACTTTAATCCTTAAAGAAAAGATGTTGGGGAAATGAGGAAGGTTGGTAGTAACACAATAATCAAAGGTAAATAAAAATGGCTCCTCCCATTTTGATATTTTGTATAATTTATTTTCTGTGAGTTTTTATGACTTTTTAAATGAAGACCATAAGCTCATTTATGTAGTGGTGTGTGTCTATGATGTGTACACCCCGGTCATAATTTAATTTTTAAAATTTGTGTCCTTTTCTGAGTCGATTTATGGTCAGTATTAACAATTTTTTGGAATTTTGACAGTTATCTTGGGAAATCAATAAAGTGTAGGTTTAGTCAACATGTGGATGAAATAAGATTTATTCAAGTTGTATAGAAGGTCTAAGGTAAATATAAGGTGCAATTATCACATACTTTTGCCTTCCCCAGAGATTTTTCCCAGGAACCTGAAATAATAATATTTTATGTATAGTAGTAATCTATTATATATGTATTTGTTGTCTGACTTGAGCTTTACAACTCTAGGTAGGCAGGGGTAATATCCCCATTTTACTCACGAGGAAACTGAATCTTGAAGCAGCTGAGTCAAGTTTTTACGGCCAAGAAGTGGCAGGACAGGTATAATACCCCACTTTACATATAGGACTTGACTCAGTCTGATTAAATGATAAAACTATCAATTTTTCTAAGCTAAGGGCATACTATATACCTGTCAGTTCTGCCTAGACTGAATTATAAGTAGTTTGTAGTTTTTTCCTGCTTCTTACAGTTTGGAATGAGTAGCTGACCAAATATTGATAGACCTACAAAATGCCACTATTTCCATTCCACAGTGGAGACCAGGACTCTAAGAACAAAGCATAGTGTCATCCTCCTCTTTAGATCGCCATATGGGAGAAAAGAAATCCTTCAATATCTTGTGCTGTTTAATGACTAAAGCTTCCCAATTTCCCAATCGAAATGGACTCTTCAGTAATAGTTTTCTTAAAAAGAGACAGAAGGCCTTTTCCAGAAATGAAATGGCTCTTTGCCCATTAGAGTCCGCTAGGAGGATATCTAGTAAACTGACCTGGCCATCATGGGTATTATGCCACTCACGAAAAGTTCCACTAGTGTTTGAATATTAGCATGCTGCTTCGCTTGGTCAGCTGATAATGGCAGGAGCTAGGGAGGCCAAGGCTATGTGTTCTTATCAAAGTGTGACCTAGCTACCATTAAAACCACTTTCCTCCCTCCTCCAACAATGACACCACCACAGAAATCATTTCTGATGACATCTCCGTCAGCTCTCTAAACATATTAAGCTGCAGAGCTAACGGATATTGGCAAAGGCATGTGGATACCATATTATCATTGGGTGAAAAATACAAAACCAAACAAAAGAACCCTCTCAATTGCTTGTTCCTCTAGGGATGAGTCTCCAGCTCATTTCCACGGATGTAAGTCACGGCTGTGCTTCTATCATCAGTCATAATCACTTGTAGTTCTAGTGAAGCATCTTAGGTTCAGACCCGAAGGACATGGTTTATAGATTCCACATTCTTCATGTCTGGGGGTCTAAGAATTTGCTGGCGTTCAAAAGCTATGATTACAGAAGAGGACTGAATCCTTATGCTTACACTTTAACCATTTAACATCTCAGACTCTCAGGATCAAAGTTCACCTTAATTAGTAATTTGGAAATTCCAACCTTACCAAAATGGCATGAGTTTAGAGCAGGTAATTTACACGAAATGATTGCCAAAGTGTTTCTCAATTAGTTACTTAAAACAGAGGGGGTGGAAGTGGGGGAAAAGCCATAAACATCTACAAGAACAGAAAAAAAAACAAATAGACTAGGAACATTTTACAAGTTTTCTGTGGGTTTTGCTGGCTAAGAAATTAGCAACTCTCCTTACTGACAACGCCTGACTTGAATATGCCTCTCACCCCACCCCCTCCGCCGCCAACTCTATCCCGGAACGCCATTAGGATGGTGTAAACACAGGCTGATTATCTAAAAACAGCCCTTGTTTTCTGCACGTGAAAGGCAACAAGTGCCCTTTAAAGGAGAGCACAGAACAAACGCCCAGACCTCCACAGGCAGGTTTCCAAACTAGCTGCGCTGGGGGCTTTCCAAAACACATCAGTCCCTCGCACCGAGTGCCCTTGGCTACCCTTGGCATACCCCCGGGTGTGCGGGGAGGAGAAGCAGGCGAGTAAGAAAAGGCTGCGGGGCAAACTTCACAAGTAGGCTTTGGAGCCAGCTACAAGGGCGTGATGTTCCACAAAGTTAGTGCATGTCTTGGGAAACAGGGTGACCCCGGGAGAGCTGCTGGTTTTCCTTGAACTAAGAACCCGAATCCCGCGTGGGGAGGCTGAGGGGCTTTCGAACAGTTCCCCAAACCCCAAACATTGCCAGAGCGCACCCCTCTCAGAAGGCGCCCGCCGCGCCACGCGCCCTTGGGCAGGTGGGTGCCAGCCCCTGTGCGGAGGGCCGCCAAAGTGCAGGGCGCCGGGCGAGAACGCTCGGGACTCGCCTCTCCTCCCAACCGAGGGGCCCAGACGGCGTCTCCCCTACCCCGGCTCCGGTCCCCGAGAGGAAAAAGTTGCACCGACCGTGGAGCTCGGCGGGCGCAGACAGCTGCTCGGTGCGCGCGCGGCGCCTGGACGAGAGGAAGCGGAGCCAGCGAGGGTGGGTGGCGTGGGTCCCGGCTCCGGCTAGGCGGCGGCCCCGGCCGCACAGCTGCCTCCGCTTGGGAAGACTTCCTGGGCACGGCTTCTCCTGGGAGGTCTCCCCGAGCCTCCAGCCTCCGGCCACCGGGTGGGATGGAGCCTCTCCACCTCCTGTCCACAATCGCCAGACCAGAGATGACTGTACGCGCGCGCGCGAGAGAGCTCTCAAGAAAAAGAAAACTCCAGAGGAACACGCCTCCCGTCTGTCCTCCCCTTCTCCTCCCAAAGCTCCCAGACCTTCTACTCCACTCTAGGACAGCAAAAACGTGCGAACCTTCCAGCCCTCCTAGGAGGCGGCCACTATAAAGCACAAAGCTGCCGCCCCCTCCCAGGCCCTGAAGGGCAGGAGTATTTTAACTATTTCGTTCCTGGAATGAAGGTGTTGGGGCGGGGGTTGGGGAGAGGTGGGGGGTTGGTAATGGAAGGAGGACGGTGGTTTAACAGACTGAGACTCAGACCTGAGGAAGGTCTTGCCGAGAAACCCATTTCCTTCCCAGTAAGTGCTGGCAGATTTGACCTGTGTTGGAGTGACTGCAGACAGAGCCAGAGTCCAAGCATGGTTTCTGCTCTGCGTTCCCTGCACCCTTTGCTTGGCGTTTTATGCTTCCTCTTAAGCTTATAGCAAATTAAAGAGCCAACGTGGTCAGCAGTTTACTGGATCAAGTACGTTTTGCTTCTATCTTGGCCCTTGAAGCCAGCACCCCAAAGCTACATATCACTAGCCTAGGGCATAGCACGAGCCCCCGGAGAGTCTGTGGAAGGGTCCAGTGTGTGGCTCAGAGAAACTTACGATTCCTCGAGAAATCCGAACAATGAGGGTGAGGATGCCACATAAGGTGGGTCTCAGCGTCTTTATATGACAGAGATTTTATCCTAAATTGGGGAGTGGGAGGGGAGATGAGGGACAAAGTCATTGCCTGTGACATGTGAGAAGAAATTGAGGGCTCCTTCGAGAAGTGCCCTGCTCGTGTGAGGCATACTGTGGAAATGTGAGTTTGAAGCACTGGTCACGTTATATTACAGACTGTTCTGGTTATCTATTGCAGCTAAAGAAAATCACCCTAACACCGTAGTGGTTTAAAACGACAACAGTCATTTCCTTTGCTCATCAATCTGCAATTTGGGCGGGGCTTGGCTGGGACAGCTCATCTTTGCTGGAGCTGGAGGCTCTACTGCCAAGATAGTTCACTTCCTTGGTGATGAGTGTTGGTTTTTCTCCATATGTGTCTCTCTACAAAGTAGTTTAGGCTTCCTGACAGCGTGGTGGCTGGGTCCCAAGAAGAAGTGTCCCAAGAAACAGGAAGTGGAAGCTGCCAGTTTCTTAAGGTCTGGGACTGGAAACTGGTACAGAGTCACTTTTGCAGAATTTTACTAGTCAAGCAGTCACAGACCCCAGATTCAAGGTGAGGGGAGACACTCCACCTGTCAATGCGAAGAGTGTCAAAGAATTTGAGGGGCATTTTGTAAAACCATCGAAGAGATCAGCAGAATATTGCCATCGAAAGGGGCCTTAACATTTAGTCCAATTGGACTAGGTATTACCCTGTGCATTAATCTAGTCCATCTACGGCTCCCCGTGACAGAGAGTCTGCCAGTTAGGATAACCAACAGCTTTTATAAGTGCCTTACTTTGCATTAAAAGAAAAGGTGCCCCTTCGAGCACATGGCTTGGCAAGCTGACTATCTTTTCAGGGAAGAAGTTGTAACTTCCTCCTGGAAAAGGCAGTTCTACACCAGGCTTCACGCCTTGGAATATGAAACATGCTGGATTTCAGCCTCTACTCACTCTGTGACCAGACATAGTGCGCAACTTGCACAACTGAACATGCCAGTTTATCCAGTCTTTGGTGGAGCACATGCGTCAGCCCCTGCCTTCTGGGACAGCTCATCCTACTGTGCTGCAGGTCTAGTTATTAAAAATTCTTCCTTCACACCCGTTAGGATGGCTATTATCACAAAGCAGAAAATAACAAGTGTTGGCAAGGCTGTGGAGATATTGGAACCTTTGCATTGCTGATGGGGATGTAAAATAGTGCAGTAGCTGTGGAAAACAGTATGGCAGTTCCTCAAAAAATTAAACATAAAATTACTATATGATCTAGCAACTCCACTTCTGGGTATATACCCCAAATAGTTGAAAGCAGGAACTCAAACAGATATTTGTACACTCATGTTCATAGCAACCTTATTCATAGTAGTCAAAAGGTAGAAGCAGCCCAATGTCCATCTATGGATGAATGGATTAACAAAATGTGGTATACATACATACAATGAAATATTATTTAGCCTTAAAAAGGAGTGAAATTCTGATATATGCTACAACATAGATGAACTTGAAGACATTATACTAAGTGAAATAAGCCGTATGCTAAAGGACAGATGTTGTATGATTGCACTTATATAGGGTAGCTATATGAGTAATAGTCAAAATCATAGAGACAGAAGGTAGTATGGTGGTTACTAGGGGCTGGGGGAGAGGGAGGGGTGAGGATTTATTGTTTAATGTGTTTCAGAGTTTCAGTTTGGGATGAGGAAAAAGTTCTGGAGATGGATGGTGGTGATAGTTGTACAACAATGTGAATGTACTTAATGCCACAACCATACACTTAAAAATAGTTAAAATGATAAAATTTATATTATATATATTTTACCACACACACAAAAAATTCTTCCTGATATTAAGATGAAATCTGCCTCCCTGTAGTATTACCTGTTGATCTGCCCTGCAAGATCATAAAATGAATTTACTGCCTAAAAAAGATCTTCAAATATGAATAAATATGTTTATGTGGATCACCAGCATAGATCAACCTTTGTAAGCGACGGGAATGCCTCATTCTAGCTGAGAACAACACAAGCTTTCCTTAGTTGTTGGAGATTTATATTCTCATCTTCTCGGCTTTACTTTGGGGAAAATGACTTCAGCGGATTTAAACCAGTTTTTATTCAAATTAACTACCTCCAGTAACCCCTCCCCATAGCTAAGACTGGATGTATTTACCCCACCTCTATATTCCCTGCTTTGTACTTTTAATGAACATATAATTAGTATATTTGGCTAAGTTTCTCAACTTGACTTCCAACGGTTCTTTCTTTTCCCTGGAAGGTGGGTTGGATGCAGATTTGCAGGGCTGCTGGGCTTCAGGGAGACTTTCTTAAGCACACGACATCTGGTTCAAGCAGCTCATTACATGCAGCATTACTGTAATGGTGGTTACAGTGACTTTTCTCAGTATTGTATTATCATTATTGATTTCCTGAACAATAATTGCTGAAGATTGAGAAGTACTCAAGATAGCACTTAAAAGCCTTTTCATGTGTCCTTGGGGTAAATGTTCTCATGAATTCTAAGTTTCTTGATTCAAGTTTGCAAATCCATTTCACAATTGCCAATTCCTAAGATCCTCCAACTTGAGATGCTATAAAGGCTCTGAGTCTCACAGTATTTGCTGGGAATGTTGTGTTCATTTTAGGGCTCCCTGGGGGAAATAAACCATGAAGCCTTCAGAGAAGAACCACAAAGATAAAGAAAAGCTGGAAAGCTGGTTGTAAGAGGAAAGGTAGAGAAACCGGGTAATGTGCATCAGAGACCTGAGCTTGTCACCGAGTCTTCACGCTGGGCAGTGCTGTGGCCAATACTCGCTGTTGGCAGTGAACATCACTGGTCTGGAGAAGAAAAAGCAAGCCCTGTGAGTTGAAGGTCCATTTTTATTTTTATTTTTTTGGTGAGAAAGATAGGCCCTGAGCTAAATCTGTTGCCAATCTTCCTCTTTTTGCTTAAGGAAGATTGTCCCTGAGCTGACATCTGTGCCAGTCTTCCTCCCCTTTGTATATGGGTTGTGGGACGCTGGCACAGCATGGCTTGATGAGCGATGTGTAGGTCCTCGCCTGGGATCCGAACCTGTGAACCCTGAGCTGCTGAAGTGGAGCACACGAACTCAACTCTTATGCCACCAGGCCAGCCCCTGAAGGTCCATTTTTAATTAAAATTCACTACAAGCAGTTTGTTTTCAAAAGGAAGTGTTCCAGGGGGCCAGCCCTGTGGCATAGTGGTTAAATTCGGTGTGCTCTGCTGCAGCGGCCTGGATTTGTGGCTTTGGATCCCAGGCATGGACCTACACTACTCATCAGCCATGCTGTGGTGGCAACCCACACACAAAATAGAGGAAGATGAGCACAGATGTTAGTTCAGGGACAATCTTTCTCAAGCAAAAAAAGAGGAAGATTGGCAACAGATGTTAGCTCAGGGTGAATCTTCCTCAGCAAAAAAAAAA